TAACGGATTTTGCGTTAATTATCCGACTCACATATCTTATGCTTTTCTGACTTCGTCACATTCTAATTCGAAAGAAAAGCTTAAGGAATCGCTTTTCCACGTTGGTTTTCCTATTCTTCAAGGCTCTATTTCCACAATTATCGTAATACTTGTATTTTTATATAGCAGTATGTACGCATACACCACATTTGTGAAAATCGTTGTTCTTATATCTCTACAAACGTTTTTTCATGCTGTGGCTGTTATTCCTGTATTTCTTAGCATACTCTTTCAATTATTTGCATAGAAAGATAACGTTAATAGTTCTAATAGTTTTAAAATGAAATATAATTCTATTTCGGATGCTGCGAATTCAAATTAAATGTCTGAAGTTATACTCTTATAAGCACTGTTTATGTCCGTATAGCAAGCTGGAAGGGATAAATGCGTTTCTATATTGTTTATATCCGAGACCTTATAATAATTAAATAATCACATAAATATGCTTCTTATTAAGTGTTTATTCCTTGAAGAAAAATGAATTTGGATATTTGCTTGTTTTTTATTTTTCTTTCCTGTGTTAGTATTCATCTTTAATGATATAATAAACAGAATGTTTCGTACCTTGTTTCAAAAAACACTTTGCAACTTTTGGAGAATTTCATGACCATTCAGTATAAATTTGCGATTGTGTTTTTAATTTTTAGCGAAGTAATTTTTGATTTATTTTAGTTACAAACGTTTTCATTCGTTGTTTGTAACACATAAAAAAGTGTACCAATCCTATCCGAACCAACCCACTCACTTATTACTTCGGCCGATTTTAACGATGATAAAACCGATCGGATAACCCATCAAACGAACAATTATTACTAAGTTCGCAATACATATCCTAACCTTAGTCACCTCCAGCCATTAATTCTGTCAGTTTGACACCTGTTATCAAATTTATGAGGTAGAAAGAGTGACAATCCGGGATAGTAAAAGTAATAAATCTGTCGGAAAGTTTATACTAATTGTCGGAAATCGAAACTTCTCTCGACCAATCGAACTTGCATGGAATTGCGTCAGGACGTTCCCCCCAAGTTTTTCTCCCCTACGAGACACGAATAAAAAGGGGTCGCACCCGCACCTCGGGGCGATCACCAAGGAGAAGACTTCAGGCTGAACCTCTTCGATTCTCTGCTCCAAACTCCGACATACCCACTTCCAAAATCTTGATCGCCATGGTTAGAAAGGTAATCCTTTCGAGTCTTTATCTCTTACTCTCACGGTAATAGATTCACTTAGTTAAAGGTTATTATACCTTGTATAGGCTAGATGTTAGATGATATATCGACGACCGTATATTCTTGTCGGGATTCCGAAATATATTTGGATTATTTCCTTTTTGTAGCCTTGTTTTGTATTCGTTTGATTAATAGTCAATTAAATATGTTATTCTTATAACTAAGTTTGTGTTATCCACGAGTACTACCGACACCTTATCGCGACCTCGCTACGCCTCCCACTCATTTTCACAAGTCATCTCTGACAATAGAAGCAAAGCTCGAGGGAGAAGCTCGGCGCTCTACCCTCTCGGTTCGCACAATATTATTAACAAAAATAGCAAACTGCGGGTGTCCGGGGAGAACCTCATATGATGCCAGATCGGCTTTATTTTATGTAAAACCTAATTTGTCAAAAAATGTAGACCAAATTATTTTTGAAGTGGACCAAATAGTAATAAAATCTCCCAAATCTGGTAGCCTACGACACTACAAATAAGTTATCTGAATCGGTTGCACAAGTTGAAAAAAAAAACTTTATGAACTAAGTAATCATTTGAAAAGTGATGTAAAGCTGTACGTTTTCTTTTATTCTTATAATTCTACAAGCCCATTGTTAAACGCAGTTGTTTCAATCGTAATTGGCTCAGTGCAAGAATGTGAGCAAGACGTGGAGCGACTACGCAGCTCCGGAAGCATCACACTTGAAGGGTAAAAGGCTTTCTACTGTTACCAAAGGTGTTTGAAGTGGACTGGTCTGATTTGCGCCCTAATAGGGGTGAAGAAATCGATCCAGAGATGCATGTTCTAGCAATGTAGGTTGACTATAGTAACCGTTTCTCTAACACTGCGTGGGTAGAGTTAGACGGTTTTTATTTTAAAATTGCGGCCACTGATTATCAGAAATTAAAATTTAAAAAAAATTATTAGTTTTCTGTAAACAAAGAAAAGTATAACGTAAATAAAACGTTATAATTAGATACGATACAGCTTTAAAATAAACAGATCAGGTTTTACTTGCCAACAGATTATCTCAACTGCCACCGACTGACAATTTTTTTGTAATTGGAGAGTAATAGATTGTTTGTGAATGTCCAGTGTTAAGTGTTTATTGCTTTTGCGGTAAGCTGAGAAGTCACATAATAAACTGCCAAGTGTTTAATTATCGTTTAGACAAGTGCTTCCCACTTGTTATTCTTAGTAATTGGAGAGAGTAGATAGTGTATCAAGGTCAGGTTAGTAAAAGTTAATTACTTTGGCAACAGCGTGTCATGTGAGCTGCCACCCACTACCCACCGTTAATGACAGCAACGTGCTAAGTGTCTTCTTATTACTCTGTAAACAAAAACTCCCTTCCCTGTCAGAAATGGGTAAGATGTCAATGTTATTGTTTCGTTGTATTGAAAGGAATGCGATTCTTAAATATCAAAAACAAATTTTGTCAGCACTTAATACCTTCCATAGAAATAAAAGAAAAGTATAAAGATAAACTAAGTTTAATTTATTTCTGCTTCGTTTAAAATAACAATTTTATAAATCGATTTGCTTTAAAATACACTTCGAAAATTACAATGAACTTTATACAACTAATACATAAACTTTTCATTTAAAAATATATATTTTTATTGAAACAGAGTTCAAGTATATATATAAACGCGCCATTTTCTAAACAGATCTTATTAAACTATTGGAAACAATCTGACGATGTTTTGAAACAATGATATTTTACGTGGCATAATTAAGAGCGATACACCGCATTATCGCAAATCAACTACTTTCGGGGTTCCGAGTAGATTCAAGGAACACACGATTTGTAATGTCAAATCAGGTAATAAAACTGTTTTACAATTCGGTCAATGAATATCGAAAATTGTCCTTTCTCTGGAACTTTTCTTATCTAGTCTCCCGTTACCGGGATATGGAATTTATTTGAATAGCAATGACAGGAAACTGGAACTAAGGAATCTTAAAGAGTGGGTCTCCTAATTTGTTTTTCTAAGTAAACGGGTTCAACTGCAAAAGTGACATGCCTCGGTCTTTTCCACGCCTACGTTTCTCTCACTTTCATTCAGTATTACATTTCCCTTCCTATTTTTGCAAACTCTCGACTTTAAGTACTAATTATATATTTCAAGTTCAGAGCAAAAATACGAAGTATATTGATTTGTTATCATCCAATAAAAACAGATCTTATTCAAAGAAATTTCCCAGTTAAAAAGGTATTAGCCACACTACTTCTACTTGGTTGTATTCAGGGGGTTACCGGCAACGCTCAGTATTGGCCGTGAAACGTTACCGAACTATATCATAATCGCGAATCAGAGATAAATATATATCGAAGCAACCAATCTGGCAGCAATGCACATAAATGTCAAATAACAGTTATTAGAATTATTATGAAAACGTTACACAATTAAACGTTATGGACTTATTTGAAAAAAACACACAGATTAGAAATGGAGGAATTACATTTAATAACTCACGTTACAAACGACTCGTGAACAGAATAAACATTGTTAATATACCCGTTATCTAAAACACGGAGAGGTTCAGAATCTCGTCCACAATCCAACTCTGTCCACGATCTCATTAGCGCGGGCCGTGCGGGCCGGGGATCGATCGTGGACAAACCAAAATGGAGTCTCGCCTTCACTGATAGTAAAGAAGAGTTTAAGATATCAATATATTGGTGGTACTGGTGGGCATTAAAGAAGAGTTTAAGATATCAATATATTGGTGGTACTGGTGGGCATTAAAGAAGAGTTTAAGATATCAATATATTGGTGGTACTGGTGGGCATATTGGTGTCCTGACCAACCCCAGAGTCCTTCCGTAGTAAATTCACCTTCTTTCTGTTTGCAGGTGGATGGATCAAGTTGTGATTTATAACACATGAAAAGTCCGGTTTGAAAGAACAATTATTAACCTTGCAGATCATTCATTTTGTGCATAAGATCATTATATAATTTGTCACGAAGAAACTATATCAGTTAACATTACTTAACGTTTTAAAATATGCTGAACTTGTTCAGCCTTGCATTTTAACAATGTCACAATAGTTCGATGTGATTTAATACACTACACACGGTGTACCATAATTACGTATACATACACAAAAAAGTTATATTGCTATACAACATAGGCCTGAATACATCCTTACAGCTACATTCGCACATGATGTCATTACATGCTAGAAGTGGAAAGAACATTTAAGGTTTTCGCTTGTCTTACCTAAAGCTTATGTTAGTTGAAAGATTGGTAGAAAATCTGTCGTATGTATTTCGATGGACGTTAGAGTATTATACTGCAACTGTTACACACCTTCTCTTTACAATATCCATAGATACGTCGAGGTTCAGTTCTGATTTTTGACGTGGTTGTAACAGGGCTTTCCTGTTTTCGGGCTGGCAGGAGAGCGCCCTTTTCTGTAATCCGACATGGTCGACCTGTCGGCTTACCAGTAGACACCGACCCTGTATCTTTGTAAACTTTGAGAGCGAGAGAAACTGTTCTCGTGGAGACTTTCAGAATGTTCAAAGACTCTTCATGCGTTCATCCTTCGTTATGTCGCACAATATAACAAGCGAATATATCTTTTGAAACAGCTTTCGGCATTTTGCATTGATTACTCCAGCACAGGCTTTATATACTCTTGCTTCCCCGCGACAATTGAATTTAATTTCATTGTAACAGACATAAAATAGAGGAAAATAATTACAGTCTATGGCTCCTTATAATTACTGCAGGTTTGACCTTTAATATTCTGATAAATACAATACATAATGCAAATGCTGTACTCAAGGGGTCATTTGCAGTAATAAAGTCTGTTTCAAATGAAAAGTTCCTTGTGGGATTCAAGTTACTGAAAAATGCAAAAAAAGTTAAAAATTAAAAAGTCGCAAGGGAAATAACCAATTTAAAAGAATTATTCAAATACTCACCATTATATTTTCTGGCAAACTTATATATTTTTAAATGGATTAAGAGCGCCTTTCGAACTGCTTATCTGTAGAATATAAAAAAATTAACCTATTATTTGAAATAGTACCTAATGTAATGATGCTTTTGAGGTTTCTCTGATGTCGACCGTTGTTCCTGCTTTGCGAGTTTACATATTGTTAACAGAATACTAATATATAAATGTCTGAAAACAATAATTTATATAATAATTTGGATATAAAATGCAGGTCTTTACTGTTTTAATCTTCAAAATTAGTTGTTTAATAATATAATAGCAGTGAATACAGAAATTTAAAAAATGTATAATAAATTTGATAAGACGAAAATTTAGCTCTTACGTTAACATGAACACCTGGTAAACAAGGAACAGGGAGATGATACTAAATTTTATAGATTAATAAAAACAAAAAAAGGGTTTTCTATTAAATAAACATGTTCAATCTTATGTTAAAATAGAAAAAAAAAACAGTTTATAAATTCAAAATTATACATATAAAAAAAAAAAATACAAATTATGTAAAAATGTTTGTAAGTATGATCAAATACTAATAAATAGTTACCGTAAAAGCAGTTCTCTTTAAGTGCAAAAACACGTTTATTTTATTATTTTATACACAATTAAAAACAACCAGCTGACATAAACCACCCCCTTCCCATTAACAACAAAGAATAGAAATTTGTGGCTTTATGCCTTAACATCTACACTTTCTACAGTGTTATTGCATTAAAATGTAGGAAAATTAAAGTTATATTATTATTATTTTTTAATGTAGAGATCAGTGTCACAATATTACACTAGGAGTGTGTATATATAAAAAGGACAGCAAACAGATCGACCGGGTAGAAAAATGTCAATTCCGACAGAAAATTCGGGCCCACAGATAGAAAAACCAGAAACAGTCTTTTTTTCAGGAAGGATGTGTAATATAGTTTCATAACAATCATTCGAATAATATTACTCTATTTTAAAATTTCTTAATATTAAAAAAAAGTTTGAAAATAGGTTTATTATTATTATTGTATTAAAGGAAAAATTACATTTCAGATTACCAAACATAGAATGGAGTTTTATTAGTTTAAGTGGTAGAAAAGCAAACTATAGATATAAAATTTTGGTCAGCCACATCTGTTAAGATTGTTCGTAAGAGATTACAGTAGTTAAATAACAAAGACAGTAACCCATACTCCCAACAATACAGCCTACAGTTACCAATTTTGGAACCTAATACAAAAAAAGTACAGGTAACACGTTACAGTTAAGTAATTTAATTAATTATTATAGAGACCAGGAGAAACGAAGTAGGAAAGGAAGAAAAGCGAAACTTACCGGTAGGACAGACACGTTACAGAAGAACACGTTCCTTGCAAGTCGAAGAGGAATAGTACAAGAACGGTAACCAAGGCCAACGGCGGCATGTAACTTCGGCCCCATTAGTGCCCACAGAGCAAAAAGGGACAAAAACTAATTATAGCCTATATTTCATTTACGTCATATACACATATCGATATATTTGCACGTATATTGTGCTTAGAAGCGAACTGCTTTCACGTTATTAGATACATCGATGCTTTCGACGACTAAAATTATTATTTCGTTTTATTTCTTTTTGACCGTACGAAACTGCCACGACGAAACATCTGGTTAAACTTCCCTCCCGATTTCCGGTGACAAATATCGGTTTCACTATTTTGTCTATATTTAAAATAACTAAGCTTAATTAATCTAACGCTTACCTTCGACCCAATGAGAGGAATCTTCGTTTTCTTCTAGCAGAAAATCGTTGCGAAGACCGCTCGACCACCGATTATCAACCCTGGCGAAGACGTGCAACTCCGCAGAAAACGTCAAATTCCGATAACAAATTTACGTTTATTTTTTATTATTTAATTACATAAATAATNACCAAAATTTAGCTCTTTCGTTAACATGAACACCTGGTAAACAAGGAACAGGGAGATAATACTGGATTTTATAGATTAATAAAAACCAAAAAAAGTTTTCTATTAAATAAACGTGTTCAATCTTACGTTAAAATAGAAAAAGAAAAAACAGTTTATAAATCCAAAATTATACATATAAAAAAAAAAAAAAAATCAAAATACAAATTATGGAAAAATGTTTGTAAGTCTGAGCAAATACTAATAAATAGTTACTGTGAAAGCAGTTCTCTTTAAGTGCAAAAACACGTTTATATTATTTTATACACAATTAAAAACAGCCAGCTAACAAAAACCACCCCCTCCCGATTAACAACAAAGAATAGAAAAACATGATTTGTGGCTTTATGCCTTAACATCTACACTTTCTACAGTGTTGTTGCATAAAAAGTTATATTATTATTTTTTTTAATATAGAGATCAGTGTCACAATGTTACACTAGGAGTGTGCATATATAAAAAAGGACCGCGGACAGATCTACAGGGTAGAAAAACATCAATTCCAACAGAACATTCGGGCCCACAGATAGAATAACCAGATAGTTTCATAACAATCATTCGAATAATCGTACTCTATTTCAAATTTTTAATAGTAAAAAAGTTTGAAAAAGTAATTTTTCTTTTAATAAAAAAACTTATTTCAGATTACCAAACATAGAATAGAGTTTTATTAGTTTATGTGGTAGAAAAGCAAACTATAGATATAAAATTTTGGCCAGACACATCTGTTAAGACTGTTCGTAAGAGATTAGTTAAATAACAAAGACTGTAATCCATACTCCAACAATACAGCCTACCGTTACCAATTTTGGTACTTTCCTAATACAAAAAAAGTACAGGTAACATGTTAAAGTTAAGTAATTTAATTATTATAGAGAGCAGGAGAAACGAAGTAGGAAAGGAAGAAAAGCGAAACTTACCGGTAGGACAGACACGTTACAGAAGAACACGTTCCTTGCAAGTCGAAGAGGAATAGTACAAGAACGGTAACCAAGGCCAACGGCGGCATGTAACTTCGGCCCCATTAGTGCCCACAGAGCAAAAAGGGACAAAAACTAATTATAGCCTATATTTCATTTACGTCATATACACATATCGATATATTTGCACGTATATTGTGCTTAGAAGCGAACTGCTTTCACGTTATTAGATACATCGATGCTTTCGACGACTAAAATTATTATTTCGATTTATTTCTTTTTGACCGTACGAAACTGCCACGACGAAACATCTGGTTAAACTTCCCTCCCGATTTCCGGTGACAAATATCGGTTTCACTATTTTGTCTATATTTAAAATAACTAAGCTTAATTAATCTAACGCTTACCTTCGACCCAATGAGAGGAATCTTCGTTTTCTTCTAGCAGAAAATCGTTGCAAAGACCGCTAGACCGCCGATTATCAACCCTGGCGAAGACGTGCAACTCCGCAGAAAACGTCAAATTCCGATAACAAATTTACGTTTATTTTTTATTATTTAATTACATAAATAATGTACAAAGCTATATAAATAGCTATTTCGATAAATAATATTATTATCTTGTTCGATAAAACTAGTTTTTTTTATTATCGCCGCGTGGATATGTAAATTAGCCGTGGCCTTGTGTTTTTTGTTTGTCGTGCCAATAGTCACGTGGTCTCTATCGTCGTCTATTTATCTAAGTAATTAAAACTGTTTAAAAATGTATTTAGAAGTCATTTATTTGATCTTTCGGTAGATTTTCTTATCTATTTTTTGTTTGAAATATAAGATTTTACCCTCTGCTTTATAATCCGTATATCTGTATTTGTATATTTATTTCTATATATTAGAAAGCAAACTGTTTCGCCCCCACCGAAACTGACACCAACACTTAGAAACTAACAACGTGTAAGTTGGTCGCAGGTGGGTTCTACAATTCGTTTTTCGAAAGGACCACCCGTTTAACTTCCCCGGAAAAATAAATGATTCGTTGTCTGTATTCTCTCATTCGTTTTCTTATCCCCACAACGATCTGTCAATCATCACTTAAGGACAAGTGTCACATATAACAGTAATCCTCTCCTAAGGTTGGATCTTTTGTCCCAGTCTATATTCGCATATAAATTAAACTAAAAGAGTAACGACATTTATTTGCACCTGAGAATACTTATATATACTTTTAGATATATGTACTGTATATGAAAATGGCAATAAAATTTTAGATTTAAGGATGACAAATAACAAGCCAAAAGCAGCAACATGGCTGGATTCTCAGTTGTTTATTTATTTATTGATCTGCTGTTAATTTATTTACTAAAAATATTTTATTTAAATAATTTTTATATATCTTCAAATAACTTTTATGAGTTATATAATTAATAAGATGATACATCTGAATTATAATATAGTTTTAACCACATCTTAGCTGTAGGATTAATGTTTTTCATGATAATTTATGTCCATAAACAAATCATCCTCGTACATGTAAGTTGTTTTAAAAGTACAATATAATTGAAAATGCTTGTACTTTTCTAACAGACCAATTTTCTTGTATGCTCGCAACACATTTTTATAATTAATGTTTGATAATTTTTGATCAAATGAGGATCTTGGGACAACCATAGAACTGAGAAAACGTGAAAATCAAACAGATTCAATCAGATATATGTATAATTATCCATCGTTACACATAATCTATACTGTTCGTTATACGGTATTTTAATTAACATAACTGTAATCTTGTAGTTTCGACAGTCCAATCCAAAAAGAAACTATTGATTTTATTATTAATCCCGATATTGTAGAAACATCAAATTACAATCGCAACATATAAGCTGAAAATTTATGGTACAGTAGAGGAGAAGGTGATATTATGTAACCCCAATTATATTTTAGTGAATTGTAAACAAGGTACCATAACTACACCCATATTTTTTGTGCGAAAAGTACTGGTAACTATTAAACTAAATGTTCCTAATTGGATTTTTTGCTAATGTAATTATAAGTATGGTTTTTGAAGGCTTTTGTACAAAAAATCAGAAAGTAGGCTTAAAGAAAATCGGGTGGTAATATGGAACCTTACTGTATATTTTCAAAAAATGCTTTAATGTAGCCAAAAACAAATACGAAAGTGCAAAGAATGTTAAATAATTACAAAATTATTTACTCCAATGTATTTTATCGCAAAAATGCTTTTATAATAGAAAAATATGACCTCCATCAACAATATATATTCCAGCAGCTCTTTTTCGATATTCTCGGGAAGNAAAATCAAACAGATTTAATCAGATATATGTATAATTATCCATCGTTACACATAATCTATACTGTTCGTTATACGGTATTTTAATTAGCATAACTGTAATCTTGTAGTTTCGACAGTTCAATCCAAAAAGAAACTATAGTAGAGCGTCGTTTATCCGAATCAATTAGGGACTGGGGTTGTTCGGATAACTTATTTTTCGGATAACCGATTATGTACGAAAAAATATATATTTACCTATCCCATCCTGAAATTTTTCTCCATTGCGTGTCGCTTTACGTTGAATTTTCGTCGATGTTAAGCGTAACGTAAACAATTTAAAATAATAATCGTGGCTATTGTATCGTTAAAAATATTTCTTTATTTTGTACAAACAAAATAAATTTATTGAAAAATCTAAAAACAATTAAAAAATTATACTTCAGAAGTTAGTTTAGTATCAAAAACGTAAAATATTTGAGTAGCCCAAGACAGCCAAAGATTGCAGCGCCACAGCACTAGCGAAAATTTAAATTTGCCAACTGGAATTCTTTCGGATAACCGACTTTCGGATAAACGACTCTCTACTGTATTGCTTTTATTATTAATCCCGATATTTTAGAAACACCAAACCACAATCGCAACATATAAGCTGGAAATTTATGTTACAGTAGAGGAGAAGGTGATATTATGGAACCCCAATTACATTTTAGTGAATTGTAAACAAGGTACTATAACTACACTCACATTTTTTGTGCGAAAAGTACTGGTGACTATTAAACTAAATGTTCCTAATTGGATTTTTCTCTAGTGTAATTATAAGTATGGTTTTTGAAGGCTTTTGTACAAAAAATCAGAAAGTAGGCTTAAAGAAAATCGGGTGGTAATATGGAACCTTACTGTATGTTTTCAAAAAATGCTGTAATGTAGTCAAAAACATATAGGAAAGTACAAAAAATGTTAAATAATTAAAAAATTATTTACTCCAATGTATTTTATCGCAAAAATGCTTTTATAATAAAAAAAAAAAACATGACCTCCATCAACAATATATATTCCAGCAGCTCTTTTTCGATATTCCCAGGAAGAATTGACTTTCTACCTAATGTCTTTTTCACAAATTGCTCCGGATGAATGTCTGATTGCAAATAGAAAGTTCGGAGAAGTTGAGTTCCATATTACTGTAAAAGCACCAAAGGGGTCCGTATTTCACGCATCGCCGTCTCGAATTAACTTATGTCTGTCGAGACCAAAATTTAAAAAAACGTGAACATCACACAGATTAATATGTACCCCTAAGTCTCTGGAACGGAATACATGCACCAGTGAATCTACAACTACACGATTTATATTTTAAAAGTAATTAAATTCACTTAGCATTCAAAACTTGCGAATTTTGAAAAAAACAAATTTGCTGATTAAATACGGACAACCGTTTAACTGAAGTAAAACGGATTTTCCCCTTGCTATTGATGTTTGCCTAGTTCAGTTCAGCCACAATCCGCTACAGTTCACCTTCGAAATGCGGTGGTTCCATAATACCCGCAGTGTTCCATAATACCACTTTTTCCTCTATAACAAAAATTCTCTGAAAATATAAAAGGCAAGAACAATGCCCATTTTATCGTGATAACTAATTG